CCCCGTCCTAGCTCAAGGTCAGGCAAGTCCAAATTTTATCTAGTCTGCTAGCTGTATCATTTAATTTTCCAGTAATTGTTGGTGTTTCGTTATGTTTTGCTTTGCTAGCCTCTCAGTGTTACCTTTTTACGGGTTAATTGTGCCTATTCTGTTGGAAGGTGTCGACGTGGTCATCGGTGACGCCAGCAGCAAATCGTTGAATATGTAGTTTGCGGTAACAGTTTTGTTTGGAGTGCTGTCATGTACATTTTTCTCTCAACTAGAGACTTGCTTTCAAATTGTGCATGGCTCTGAGTTCGAGTAGAAAGGGTGCCGTGGATACCACATTTATCTCGCTAAAAAAAATTTAACAAAAAGGCCTAATTTCTATCGCTAGCTTTTTGACTAATTTTCTAAACAAGGTATTGTAATTTGCTCGCAAAAGTGCTGGTTTGTTTCCAATAGTATTTCAAGGTTACGATGACGCTTTTGATTTTAATGCTACTCTCGTTTGGTTGAATTTCAATTGATGTGCTTTTGAACGATTACAAAGGAAAAAATAATCTATTTAAATTAGCACTAAGGGATAATTAAATATTGACAGATGTGTTTTTCTCTTCTAAGTGTATAAGAAAAGACGAACCGAGATATATCCAAACCTGATCNTTTTTCTCTCAACTAGAGACTTGCTTTCAAATTGTGCATGGCTCTGAGTTCGAGTAGAAAGGGTGCCGTGGATACCACATTTATCTCGCTCAAAAAATTTAACAAAAAGGCCTAATTTCTATCGATAGCTTTTTCACTAATTTTCTAAACAAGGTATTGCAATTTGCTGGCAAAAGTGCTGGTTTTTTTTCAATAGTATTTCAAGGTTACGATGACGCTTTTGATTTTAATTCTACTCCCGTTTGGTTGAATTTCAATTGGTGTGTTTTTGAACGATTACAAAGGAAAAAAATAATCTATTTAAATTAGCACTAAGGGATAATTAAGTATTGACAGATGTGTTTTTCTCTTCTAAG